GTCAATGGCAAGTTGAATGTGAATCCACATCCCATAGGAAGACACTGTCAAAATGATGTTTGTTCTATGTATGTATTTGTTTCAATTACCAATCCACCAAATAAGCTTTGAAAGATTGTTTTATCTCGATGTGCAATAAAGTTGAAGAGTTTGAGAAGAGTTTCCTGGCCAGCTCTATTTATCTCACTGTAGTCTCTGAGTTTCTCTGAGAGGTTGATTAATTTGCTCATGCACTTCAGCAAACAAGGCAGCAACTTGAGTTTAAATTTGGGAAATAATGACACAGAGGACAGGTTAAGCAATATTCCCAAGGTCACGCTTCAAACAGGAATGTGCTCTGACACAAGAATGATTTGGAACATGTCATGCCAGGCACCACATGTGCCCTGATCATCCTCACCACAAACCTGAGAGATGAGAGATGAAGAGCTTCAGAACATAGACCTTGGCTTAGCTGCACTCAGTGCTACTGTTTTGTTTGATGCAGATGAAAAGCAGGTCGGAGGAAATCATGTGTGAACAGGTAAGTGTGGTGCGGCTACACCATCACCTCTGGGAGCTGAAGGGGACACCTCTGCTCACTCCTGACCTGTAAAACAGAGTGAGTAACTCAGATTAGGCTTGAAGTGTCTCCCTGGTGACAGGAGATAAAGTCCCTGTGTCTTGTTTAGAGAAAGACAAATTATGTACAGTGAAAGGCCTGGAGGGAAGGAGGGGGAACTACAATGAGAAGGACAATACATTCAGTATTGCCCTGACCCTGTAAAAGAGAAAGGGGCAGTGACCAAAGCCCTGATCCAGATTAGATCCAGAGATCTGGCTGAGGCTGCAGTAAGATCATCTTCAAAGCTTAACTCCTGACTTCAATATTTGTTTTCTCATCTTGGGTAAGATCTGGTTTGAGGACACTGCTTCAGGCACACCTTGAATACAAAATAGTGTGAAATTCAAAGTGATAAAATAAACAGATAGAAATAAGCCATTTGGGAGATGAGAACTTTAACCAACACTGAATGAAAATATACTTAGAAATTCCAAGATCAGTCAAATAGGGTATCTTAACATATTTTATCATGGTTAAATGCCTATTAGGGTGGGCCTTTCCAGCAAGTGTCCTTTGGTGCATTAGAAAGAATCAATAAAAGAGCAGTTCTCATGGCTCTTTGAAAAATTCTTGATTTTTAAAAACTTAGCTAAGAGTTGGATTTCTGCCTGAAATCCTGTATCACAGATTGTCTCTCCAAGGGTGAAACTCTGTGTTCAAACATGTGCACATCTTTGCTATATCCAAGCCCTTTATTGTTATGGATTATTCTTTTTAGAGGTCCCTGAGGACTTTTAAGTAATTTTCTTATAATTAAGGGTACATGGTGAAGCATGCACAACAGCACTCAAAATGGAAATGCTCCTCACACTGCATTATCTGGCACACTCCTGAGGGGTGTCTGGTCTGGGCTGTAGGGTTTTTCTAGTTTGTGTTTGTAGAGTTTGTCTTATATCAAAAGAGAACCAACAGAAAAGGGAACAAAATGTTGAACCCATTCCGTTTCCTCTGCCACTACAGTGAAATATGTTCCCAAGAATGGGAACAAGAATGAGAGCTGGTCAAGTTATGCAGTGTTGGTATATAAGTGCTCTGGGAAGGGTTACCAGGGCATTTCCATTATTTGCTGTGGTTGTTCAGTGGTTGTGACATTTAGAGGGTACTTTGAAGAAAATAGCCCGGCTGGTAAATGACAGCAGAGAAAGGGGAAGGCAAGCAAATGGAGAGGAGGGAAGTTCACAGAGATTTCCTGACAAGATGAAAGGGGAAAGAAAACTCAGTGAGTTCTTATTCAAAAACCATTTTGGTGGCCTCTGTTTGAATGACAGAACTGTTTCTTAGCATGCTTAACAACTACTTGGTCCTGTCCAGGAGTACACTTCACCAAATGTCTGCTGGGTTTAACACCACAGTCAACTTTGTAATGTGTGATGAGAATTATTTTTTCAGCTGAGCTTCTTAAGACAGGCCCACATGTGTGTAAATCCTGGTGGGTTTTAACACACCTCTGTTGCACTAAAGAGAGAAGTGCTGATCTTCACCAGGATTTATAAGGTACACAAAAGTCTTAACACCTGATGTTTAAGCCAGATGAAAAGCAGCCTGAGAACCTGGTGTGCTCTACAGGGAACATGGGGTATGCATGTGTTGAGATGAGCATGATGACAGTACTTTTCCTGCTGATTCTCAGCACAGTTTTGGTCGTGTTACATCCAAATCCCTATACAGAATATGATAATGATAATTGATGCCAATGAGAAGAAATCCTCTGTCCTTTTCTTGTAACAATAAACCAACAGTGAAAAGCTTTGGCTTTTGCTGAAACAATGAAACGGGCAGTGGAGTTTGGAGGAAAAGAGACCCAAGCCCTTCAGCAGTGCCTCCATGCCCTGGGCAACCTGGCCTCCTCTGTTTTCATTGCAGCCTCTTTGTCCATGTGGAGCTCTTCACCCAACTATCAACACACTGAAGGTCATAATTTCCTAACCTGCCCTGTTGGCTTCCCCATGGGATTTACTCACTCCCTCCTTCTGGTGATCTCATTTCCATGTGTATGGGATGAGGTGAGAGCATGGCCATTTCAAAGCTTCGGAAATGGACCTCCAGCACTGGGGTGCTGAAGGAGGACAGGGGAATCAGCATGAGAATGTTATCCTAACACCTTGGCAAGAATGAGAGCCCTCACACAAATGTTTATTCAGAGGTAGAGGGATGGCCCTGCTGCAAAAATAAAATGCTGACAGCATTTTATTTTTCAGTCTTAGAAGTGTGAAAGGGGGAACGGTAAAGAAATTTACAACTTGTAATTCCCCCCCTGAGACCTACAAGATGCTACAGAGTTGTGGAAAAGCAAAAGAATTTTAAGATGTGAGAGGGAATTCACTGCCCATGGTGAGCTTAAACCTGCAGCATGTTCTTCTGACTGTGCTTGGAAAGAATTCAGACATAAAGTGGATGTCAGCAGAAGATGGATCCGAAAAGAGCAATGGGATCTTGCCCAAGTCATGGCTTTCAAAATCAAACAAGATCATTCTTGTTTGTGGCTGGAAATGCTGAGCAGCCTGATACAATCTGGCCACAGAACTGTGCAAGGGGTGAGGTACCTACCAGGAGATCAGCAAATCTGGAGAGATAACAAAAGTTATCCTCTGCCTAGCAAAAGCTGTGAGGACTCATCTGGTGCCCCTAAAAGAGCACAAGGCTAATTAGTGTTGGACACTAATGAAAGGTTAGCATGGCGATTGCTGCTGAACCAAAGCAATGGCTGCTCCTGCTGCTGCTCAGCACAAGGTGCAGAACACAGAGAAAAGGTCTTGTGTTCTGAACCAGCCCAACCTGCCCTCAGCAGCTTCCAATAGCTCTCTCTCATGTCTTCCATCTATAACAAGAGCAGGACATATGGTTTTCCACATTAACATATCACACCTTTCTCCTGGATGAGTGCATATATGTGATATTTCTAAACATTTTGCCCAACTTTAGGAGAGTTTTGCAAAAAAAAACAAGCCTTGTCTCCCCCCCACAACATCCCTTGGGAGACCAGTCTGTGAGTATATTTCATATGCATGGAGCAACAGCAAAATATAATCAGAACATAGTGTAGACAGATGTATTTCAAACCCAGAAAGTCCATGAGATTTTTCTGACCTGAACACTTGTGTGCCCAGGATCCTCAGCCATGGAACTTCAGCCCATTCTTCTGTACCGAGAAGGGCTTTGACTTGGGGAGGATGATAAATTGTGGTGCCCTGAAGGAGATTAAAGCAAGTTAACAGAGAGCATGGCCTTATTTCTCACACAATTCACACGGGTGATTTCACCTAATTTTTAAGGTTTACCTGCCTGTCAATGATAAGCAGTTTGCATTAGTTTCCTGTTTTAACCATCATTCTCTGGCTACCTTGTGTTACAGGGTCATGCCTCTGCTCCCAGTCAGTGAGTCCATCCCATGTCCAAAGCCTGACCAGCTGAGGAGGAGCTAAAGTGATAAGCCTGGCACAGTAGCTTGATCTTATTGACCAACCATTCCAGACAACTAAAAGAGATTACCACATTTATCTGTACATCAGAAGACAGTGGCACATACTTCTAACTTGTGTTAATGTGACCAGGACATTAACATGAGCAAGGCCACTTCTATGAACCGATGTGTTGGCAAGTTTCAATTCTATTTAGCTTTTAAAATAAAAGCAGGCCATTTAATTAAATGTACAGACATGAATATGTTGTGCTCAGGTGTCACAGCAGACTATTTCCTAATCAATATAGCATATATTTTCACTTCATGAAATCCAAAGCTTTTGATATGGCATTTTTGTCCCATAGATGTTAACACTTAGTCTTTCAGAGCAACAGGTTGCAGAGATTTCCAGAGAACCAAAAGAACTCCCAGGTTCTGTAAAAAGTCCTCTCTCCCTCTACTCTGGTATAAGACTTTAGGAAAACAATCTGGTTTCATCCCAGTGCTATCTGAGCTGCCCATTTCTAATAGTCAAAAGAAAAGCAGCACTTCCCAAGAACAGATTTGGGTCTCAAGTGAACTGAATAACCTCTGCAAGAGACTGGCTTTCCCCTAGCTTGAGCGGAAGCAAAGGAACCATGGGGCTGACTGGAATAACACACCTCAGGGAACCAAGCCATCACCACCAAGCCACCAGGCTTCTAGTCTGTGTCAGCACTGCAGGCTTCCTTTACAGTCAGAGACAAAGCAGGCACAGTCAGTTGACTGTAAGAGAATATTTTCCCACCTATTTTAGGAGTGGCTCTGAAAATACTTGTTATGTCCTGGACTGGCAAGTGAAGAAAGACAGACTACCAGTTTGGATCTTCAGCTTTCAGACAGCCAGTGCTGGATGAGTGCCCTTAGGTATCATAGGGTAGATGCCTCCAGTTAGTTGATGGGAATCTGGGCAAAATACCTTTGTCAGCCTCAGAGAGGAGCTTCCATTTTCAGAACTGGAACCCTTTTAAAGAGAATCAGAAAAAATAGCAGAAGAGATAAATTCGCATTGCAGACTACTTATTGGACACTTATGTCTTCAAATTGAATCACCTTCAGCTATGTGACAGCAAAACAACAGCAACCAGAAACAGCTGCAGTGATTTTTACTGAAGGAAGAAGCCTTCCATCCTGGGCTGAGATCTTGCACAGAGCCTGGTCACTCTGGCTAGTGCTAATCTCACCAGCATCTTGGAAGGTCAGATGATAAGATTGCACATCCACATGGAATTTTCCACAACAGCCACAGGCATAAGTTATTGTCAGTGATCCAACCTCAAACTTCCTATCAAAGCATTTCGATTCCCATATAACTGAAGACAGAGTACAGCTGGCTACTGCTTTTAGGGGTAGTAAACCCATATGGAAAATTGAGGTTGTAGATTTAAAACACTCAAATAATTATAATTAGACTCAGGACACTCTGAGTTTCATGCCTGATGTGGAGGAATTGTGCAAACAACTGATAGGGAACCAAAGAAGCATTATACATTCATTACAATGTTATAAAGAAGCATTCCTGATTTCCTTATAGATTATCAGGCTCAGTCCATATCTGAAGATAGTGTCAGGCAAAGTGAACTGATGGTCTGATCTGGTGTAGCAAATCCCACTTTGTTTTGATTTCAGCCCCCTTTTTTCAGGCTGCAATAGTTCATGTTTGATATGCAAGGCACAGGAATAATTATGGCCACATCTGTTTTCTCTGTTACAGACTGCATTTTTAGCCATGTAATCACTTACAATTGGATGGAGGATTCTCAGAATATGTTTATCAAGGACATGTATTGAGAGGCATCTGTTTAATTTAGTCTGGAAAGAAAAGAAAAAAAAGTCAAAATTGAATACTTACCCTGGAGCAATGCTGAAATTATGCTACACACTCAAGTCCAAGCTACTGCTCTATTAAATCAACTTTTAATGCCTTCTTGTTAAATCTACTAACCTTCCCTGCTCCAGACATGCCCAGATTTCATGAGCATCTTTGCCAATACTAGGAAGCAACTGATGGTAACCAAGAATAGAATGCAGCAAAATTTAATTCCCAGAGTCAAACCAGCTTGTATTTTCCACTGTTATAACAAGCAAACTCTAATTAAGTGTACTAAGCAAAGGCCTGGCTTGCAGAAGCTCTGCACAGACTGCAAAAGCTCTGAAGGGCAGGACATGCTTTATTTGACAGCTTCTGCTAGAGAAAATAAAAATAAATACTTACAAGGAACATTCACATAACCCCTTGCTCATTTCAGAGTCTGTGGTTTGCAGATCATTGCAGACAAACTGAAGTTGCAGTGCTTGGCTAAGTGAATTCCCACATATCTGTCTCAAAGTCTTGTTGTTCTTTGAAGACAGAGGAAGTTTCAAGTATTAAAATCATCTTTAAGATCTTTATGAGGCAGTGTGACAAGTTACTTGGTGCTTGTAGAGAGATGAAAAACCAAAGATCTGTAATTTTTTCCCAACTATCCTTATGCTACTGGTAAAACACCCTGGCACAGGGAGATACTGTCTTCTCACCCATCTATTCTCCTCTCATCCCTCATCTCCCCTGCAGTTCCTGGCAGAGTTTCTGGTAGAGATCCTTCAGCTGCAGAGCAGAGACATCCATTGTTTGAGAGCTGACACTTCCCAGGTCTCAGTCATGCCTCAACTGTGCCCCATTTGACTCCACTTAGTGGCCTGCAGAGGTGTTGAGGTCCCTAGATACAAACCCTGAAGGATCAGGTGGGATAAATTAAAAACATCTCTTCAGAAGGGAAGATCAGAAGTTCCTTTGCACGAGATTTTTGTCTGCATTAAAACTCTTAGATGTATGGTGACTTTCAACAGGATCTGGATGCATCCATCCATCCATCCATCCATCCATCCATCCATCCATCCATCCATCCATCCATCCATCCCTACCAATGTTAACTGGTGTTAATAAACCATTGCACAGTATTTCAGTGTTTAGAACACCCAGTAGCACGAGGTCAAACTTAAATAGAAGCACACATTTCATAAAAATGTCCACCAAAGGTTGACTTCATGCTAGTCTCTCAGCTGGCTGCTGTCAGTGTGATGGACTAAGCAATTCCATTTTTTAATGCCATGTAAATGATAGTGCTGTGTTGTGATACATCAATTAAGTTCTTTGAATAAATTAATCAGAAAATTCTGTAAGGATGCTTCTTTGCTTTCTAAAGGGGAAAAATACTAAACTCAAACACAACCCCAGGCTTTGTGTTTATCTGCTGGTTTGTTTTCCTCTGCAGTTAATTCATGGGTTGAAATCTCCATGCATATATATTCACACATGTAAATAAGGAATGAAAGGCTTCACATTCTGTGTGAAAGGCCTCAAAACACTTCTCATAATTTAACTTAATAGATGTTAGCAACATGCCAACTAAATAAAGTGCCTTACACACATTTGGATGAAGCATCAGTTTTGCAGCTGATTGACTACTGCTCCATTATTTCTACTAATTACATATTTATCTGCCTTAAGGAGCAGTTTTAACTATTGATTCAACTAGAAACAGCTTGTACAAAGCCAAAAATAAAGCAGCATCACGGAGTCAGACTTTTACATGCAAATACAGGATCCAGTTAGAAGGGTATAAAGCAGCAGTCATGTATCTTGAGAAAGAGCTGCACCACCTCCTGTGACAACTAAAAGTGTTTCATCTCAGGTTTTAAAAGCACAGAAGTTAGTTTCAATTGGAAGAACTTACGAATGACGCAGTACATGTGAATGCCCTGTGGTCAATGTAAACACATCAGTAAACACAAAAGAATAAGGGTCAGATTCATAAATGCTGAGTACTGCTCAACATGATACAAAGAGCTTGGGACCTTCAAAAGGGAGCAATGCTATGTTCTGAACAGACCCTAATTTCTCAAAAATTAATAAACTCTTCTTTTTGCTTAGGTACTCACAGAATGATCTGAATTCAAATCTTGGTTTTCATGCTCGACCTCTGTTCAAACATTATAGGAGTCAACACCTTTCCTACCTAAGTCTGGATTGCTGCCTCAAACGTACATCTTTATGTATAATTTTCCATTTGTATAAATTAAATCATGATTTTCAGTGCTTAGAGTTTCTCAGGAGTGGCAATGTTTATCTGTTGCACAGAACTCTCAGATGCTGATTTTGCTCACCCATCTCCAGTTATAATACACTTTCATTAACTCATAAAAGGTGCATCCTATCCCTTGTCTTCCCCAAATAACTATACAAATCAAAAGAAGCAAATATATCATGGATCTAAATCTCACCTAGCAGGGGCCAAGACACTAATGCTGAGAGTCCATGGAATTGCACCGATTTATGCCAAACAGACTAGATGCTGAACTGCTGCAGTTTCAAATTATGTCCCTGTAATGTTCTCCAATACTCAAAGCCCCTAAGTGAACATCACAGCCAGGTCAGGCAGCAAACGTTGAGGTCTTGCTGGTGACAAGACTTTGGGAAGCTGCCTTATAGCC